GAAATGCTCGCAACGACACTGGATGGGCACGACATTTTATTGGGACGTGATTGGCTGCGACGGTATAACCCACGAATTGACTAGACGACGGGTAGCTGCACAGTGCGAAGTGGTGGTAACTGGGTCGTCCTACCTCGCTGGCAGCCACCCGAGTCTTTGACGGTCCAGGTCAACGCCATCACGATGAAACGGGCTGTCGCTGCTGGAGCTGACGTGTACGCAGTGGATATCGCATTAGTTGAAAAAGAGGAGCAGCCGAGTGATTTTCAGAAACTGCTGGCAGCCGAACCGCCCGAACTACAGGCACTACTGAAACGGTTCCCGGGTATCTTCCCGGATGACTTACCGCAAGGACTGCCACCTCAGCGGGCACATGACCATAGGATCGAGTTAGAGCCGCGGGCACAGCCAACCGTACAGCGCCAATTTCGACTGACACAGCCCGAGCTCGACGAACTAAGGAAGCAGTTAGATTACCTGTTAGAGAAGCAGTTCATCCGACCGAGCTCATCACCGTTCGCCGCACCGATACTGTTCACACCGAAAAAAGACGGAGGGTTTCGAATGTGCATCGACTACCGAACGCTTAACAGGATAACAGTCAAATCACGATACCCCATCCCCCGCGCCAACGAACTAATCGACCAGCTGCGAACCGCACGAGTATTTTCGAAAATAGACTTACTGGGGGGTTACCATCAAATTCGGGTCGAACCATTGGACTGCGCCAAGACAGCATTTAGGACTAGGTATGGGTCATTCGAATACACGGTGATGCCTTTCGGGCTGACCAACGCGCCCGCAACATTTTAGATGACCATGAACGAGGCATTTAGGCCACTTTTAGATAAATGTGTCATAGTTTACCTCGACGACATCCTCGTTTACAGTCGGGACCAGCAGCAGCACTTAGTCGATCTCGAAGCAGTTTTTAAAATTTTAGAGAAACATCGGTTACTCACCAAGGGCTCCAAGTGCGAGTTTTTCCGGGACAGACTAGAGTTTTTAGGTCACGTCATTTCGGAGGCTGGGGTTGAGATTGACCCTAAAAAGCTGGATACGGTAAAAGCGTGGCGTCCCCCGACGAACATCACGGAACTGCAGAGTTTTTTAGGATTTGTTAATTATGATCGTCGGTTCGTCCCCGACATGGCACGTTTAACAGCCCCGCTCACGGATTTACTGCGCAAGGGGGTGCCGTTTACGTGGGGGGGGGAAAGAGCATGCTGCCTTCTCTGCCCTAAAAAGTGTTCTCTGTTCACCACCCGTCCTACGCATCGCTGACCCACACCGCCCCTTCGAGTTGGTTACCGACGCGAGCGAAATCGCCATCGGAGCTGTACTGTTACAGGACTTCGGCAACAGCCTCCAACCCATCGCTTACGAATCACGCAAGCTCCATCCACCTGAGCGAAATTACCCGATACACGACCGCGAAATGCTTGCGATCGTGCATGCATTCAAAGTGTGGCGCTGCTACTTGACCGGCGCAGACGTGACAGTACGGACAGACCATCGATCCCTACAGTACCTTCGCGCACAGCCCCACCTCAACCCACGACAGATTCGGTGGCTCGATTTCCTCGAGTCGAATTTTCACTACACAGTCACCTACAAAAAGGGAGCCTCGAATATCGCTGACGCACTGACCCGCCCCACTGCCCAAATCCACGCGATACTACTCACCCAGACCAGCCCATTACTGACAGGACTATTTACCCACGGATATCAAACAGACCCGTTCTTCACAGGAGGAAATTCACAGCAATTCGCAGCAGCAAAAGGAGTCTATTACGTAAAAACCGGAACCGACCGCATCTGGGTACCAGGATACACGCTACTACGGGAACTACTGTTACAGGAAGCACACGACGGAATTACCTCGGGACATTTCGGAGTAGAAAAAACACGACAGCAACTGCAGCGGTACTACTACTGGCCGGAAATGTTGACCGGCGTACAACGACACGTGGCATCGTGTCCCACTTGCCAGCTCATGAAGTCAAGCAGGAAGCGGCCGGCGGGACAATTGCAGCCGATCCCACCCCCAGAGCGTGCTTGGCAGCAAGTGACGATGGACTTCGTCACGGGGTTACCGGCCGGGGCAAGTGGGAATGATGCGATCCTGGTCGTCGTCGATCGACTGACGAAAATGGCACACTTCGCAGCCTGCAAGAAATCAATCACAGCCGAGGAAACAGCCCGCCTCTTCATCTCGACCGTCGTTCGACTACACGGGATACCAGCATCGATCATCAGCGACAGAGACACGAAGTTTACAAGCAACTTCTGGCGGAACCTATGGCAGCAGTTTGGTACGCGACTGCAATTCAGCTCATCCTACCACCCCGAAACCGACGGACAGACAGAACGGACAAACCAGACCATGGAGCAGCTGATTCGAGCCACGTGCGACGATCCAAACACATGGGAACAGCAGCTGCCTCTCATCGAGTTTGCGTACAACAACGCGCCATCCGCCACAACCCAACTGTCGCCATTTTATTTGAACTACGGACAGGACCCAACAGTACACATGACACCGAATCCCGACAATCCCGTTCCACGCGCACAACAGTTCGCCGAGATTCTGCAAGCAGCATGGACCAGGGCAGCAGAAGCAATCAAAAAATCAAATATCATCGCTAAACGCAACGCCGATCGCCACCGCAGACCCGTCACTTATCAGCCCGACGACCTCGTGTTACTCGACACTCAAAACCTCCGCCTGCCCATCACTCCAAAACTCCGCCCTCGATACTGTGGGCCATTTCGAATTAGCCACATGATCACACCCGTCACTGCGCACCTCCTCCTCCCTGCTGACTGGTACGTCAGCCCCTCGTTCCACGTCAGTCTGCTTCGCCCGTACGTCCCATCCACCAGCCAACTCCCACGACATCGGCCATCCAGCATGACACGACCACCAACCGAACCAGTCATCACCCCCGAAAAAATCTTGAGCCACAGAGTTCGTGACCCCCGCGGAGCCCGAAAAGTTGAGTTTCTGATCCGCTGGAAAGATCGTACACCCACCGAGGACAATTGGGTTCCCCTGGACAGAATTGAAAACCACCCCATCCTCACCGGGTACCTGCGCAGCCGAAACTTCAAAGATGTCCACGCACTTTCGTAAACGGGACCTCCTTAGGGAGGGGGGTAGTGCAAGGAAAATCCCTTTTCCTTACTTCGCATCTCTGCTCATCGCGTACATCACTGTAGCACCTCAGTCAGCACCGTTACCACTCGCGACCATCGCATCGACACTCATCCCGCCATTTTCGCACATCGCACCCCGACCTCACGGCTCGGCGGGTAACCCGCGCTCCGGGCCTACGCTTCGACATATTCCCCAACCTCAGTCCCAGACTCGTCGCGCGACAACCACAGTTCATTACCGTTACCACTGTAGTTTCGCTATATATTCTTCGCTCATGCCTTCGCTCATTGGACTCTTGCTTCGATAGTGCAATTCTCGTTCGTTCACTCAATTGCACTCGTAACAGTAACGCTCATAATGAACCCTGAATTTCAGAGTTCTCTAGAAAATAGCTCTGGGAATCCGAGTAGTGAAAATAAAAAAAAAAACCCTGTTTGCAACGATCTGTAGACTACAAATTGTTTCCAATCTGTATGGCTGAATAAACTACGCCTCTTCTCCCCTCACCCCTCCATTTTAAAGAAGCATAGCCCATGGTTCAAGGTTTTCTCTATGTGGTTACGATGACATGGCATCCCAACAGGATGCTTCAAAACCTATATCATCTGGAACTTTCCAACCATGCAGGAAGTACTCGATATTGTGCGCGCAACATTTTAGGTACCCCTCATCTCCCTTCTCCGGATACAATGATCCGATAGCCACATATACTATCCATGGAAGAATGACCTTGCCATTTTTGCGATTGCTCAAGAGGTTCGAGTAGTCGAGGTAACACCTAAACCTATGGTGTTTTGGCTCCATTGCCATCCCATCATAGGATTCGCTCGTGCTTTCACCACAACAAACACGAACAATGGGTTCAATCGTCCGCCTCGCTGTACTCAGCTGCTCCTGGCTGTCAAATGGCAGGCCCAATGAGTTAGCACCCCACTGTTCCAACACCTCATACTGCTTAGAGAAGGTGCAGGCAAAATGGGGCAACGACCAGCTGTATAATGGGAGAACCCTGACACGGGGCTTTCGGGTTGGTTGCTGCACGCGATGCATGTATTGTGAAAGTTGGATGCTTGGTGGAGAATGCTGGCTTGTGTTCACACGACACTTGTTCGTGATGGGGCTGCTTGCACCTCCTTCGTCAACCACCACACCGGCCTCATCCACTTCAACCAGCTTATTCACTCTACCCAGAAGCCCACGCCAATGCTTCAACAGGCGATGCTCACTACATGATGGGACACAATAAGGTATCGAGATTAGACACACTCAAATCACAATGACAAGGGGTGTGTGAGTGTGCAATCCACCTGGGAGTGAGATGTCGCCGGAGTGGGCGATGGATTGTGGGACGTACAATGATGGCATGGTGTGGGGCTAAGAGGCAACGCACACCTGCGGATCGGTGTGGTGGAGGGATACAGGGGGGAAAGGTCCATGCTTTTATGTGGCTATGAAATCGGGAAGGTGGGAAAGGTGAGTGGGAATATGTGGCTGACGGGTCGATGCCGGGGGGGAACGAGCATGCTAGCGAGGGGGGAGGGGAGAGAACGCGACGAGGAAGGGGAGTGATGTTGAACAAGAATGAATGAACTAACAGTGAAATGAGTACAAGTATGAAAACCTAGAAATGTGTACCCCCTATAGGCTAACCCACTGTAGCCTAAATAACTACAACAACATATATAATGTTTGACAAGTGACAGTGACGGGGGAGTAGGAGTGAGCGCATTGGGGGGGAAAGAGCACACTAGCAAAGGGGGATGGGGAGAGAACGCGACGAGGAAAGGGAGTGACAGTGACGGGGGAAGTGGAGGGAGCCCATGGAAGGGGAACGAGCACGCTAGCGAGGAGGAATGGGAGAGTACGCGATGAGGTAGCTGAGTGAGAGTGGCGGGGAAGTGGAGGGAGCGCATGTGGGGGGAACGAGCACGCTAGTGAGGGGGAAGGGGAGAGAACGCGACAAGGAAGGGGAGTGACAGTGACGGGGGAAGTGAAGGGAGCGCACGGGAGGGGAACAAGCACGGTAGCGAGGGGGAAGGGGAGAGAACACGACGAGGAAGGGGAGTGACAGTGACGGGAGAAGTGGAGGGAGCGCATGGGAGGGGAACGAGCACACTAGCGAGGGGGAAGGGGAGAGAACATGACGAGGAAGGGGAGTGACAGTGACAGGGGAAGTGGAGGGGGCGCATGGGAGGGGAACGAGCACGCTAACGAGGGGGAAGGGGAGAGAACGCGACGAGGACGGGGAGTGACAGAGACGGGGGAAGTGGAGGGAGCGCACGGGAGGGGAACGAGCACGCTAGCGAGGGGGAAGGGGAGAGAAGGCGACGAGGAAGGGGAGTGACAGTGACGGGGGAAGTGGAGGGAGCCTATGGGAGGGGAACGAGCAAGCTAGCGAGGGGGAATGGGAGAGTGCGCGACGAGGCAGCTGAGTGATAGTGGGGGGGAAGTGGAGGGAGCGCATGTGGGGGGAACGAGCACACTAGCGAGGGGGAAGGGGAGAAAACGCGACGAGGAAGGGGAGTGACAGTGGTGGTGGAAGTGGAGGGAGCGCACGGGAGGGGAACGAGCGTGCTAGCGAGGGGGAAGGGGAGAGAACGTGATGAGGAAGGGGAGTGACAGTGACGGGGGAGGTGGAGTGAGCGCATTGGGGGGGAAAGAGCACGCAAAGTGCGAGGGGGAAGGGGAGAGAACGCGACGAGGTAGGGGAGTGACAGTGACGGGGGAAGTGGAGGGAGCCCATGGGAGGGGAACGAGCACGCTAGCGAGGGGGAAGGGGAGAGAACGTGACAAGGAAGGGGAGGGACAGTGACGGGGGAAGTGGAGGGAGCGCACGGGAGAGGAACGAGCACGCTAGCAAGGGGAAAGGGGGGAGAACGCGATGAGGAAGGGAAGTGACAGTGACGGGAGAGTAGGAGTGAGCGCATTGAGGGGGAACGAGCACGCTAGCAAGAGAAATGGGAGAGAACGCGACGACGAAAGGGAGTGACAGTGACGGGGGAAGTGGAGGGAACGCATGGGAGGGGAACGAGCACGCTAGCGAGGGGGAAGGGTATGAGTACGCGAAGAGGAAGGGGAGTGACAGTGACGGGAGAAGTGGAGGGAGAGCAGGGAGGGGAATGAGCACGCTAGCAAGGGGGTGTGAAAGAATGAACGTGAATGAATGGACTATGAAATGAAGTGGGTACAAATATGAAACCCTAATTGGGTTGTACCCCCTATGGGATACCCCACTATAGACTACAGAAATGAGTAAGCTACAATGTTCTGACACACCCCCATAGGCAAAGTGGGGGAGAACAAGGGGTCACAAGACCAGTCAAGCAAAGCAAAGCAAAGCTCAGGGTGGATCACAAAGTCACCACACATTCCGAGCACAAGTTCAAGGGCCACAAGGCCAGTTCACATGCAAGATCATATATAAAGATATACAAGAGTCAAGCGAGCAAGAGCAAGAGTATATATAGGAGAAGGTACAAGCAAAGTCAAGAAGTGAGCAAGTGAGGCAGAACAGGCACAAGACCCAGCTGCGTGCAACAACGGTGATGATCACAAGGCGCAAGTGCCTTGGTGAAGACATCAGCAGTGTTGGCCTCAGAGGCCACGTACGCAAGTCGCAACTGTCCACGCTGCTGTAGCTCACGAGCAAGAAAGTAACGGAGAGCAATGTGCTTTGTCCTGTGCTCCAGTCGCTGCTCTCGACACAAGGCCAGCATGGCCTTGTTGTCTACGTACAGGACTGGAGGAGAACGAGGCTGCTCTCCAAGGTCGGTCAGCAGGTAGGTGAGCCAGCGTAACTCCTGTGCAGCCATAGCCCCAGCGTAGATCTCAGCCTCACAACTGGAGCCGAGAACAGAAGACGAGCGGGTAGCCCGCCACGAAACAGAGCCGGAACCAAGGCTGAAGGTGTAACCCTGTGACGACCGCTGCGTAGCCTGGTCGTCAGCCCAAGAAGCGTCTGCGTGCCCAGTGAGGACCATGGACTGCGCCCTCCAAGCACTAGCCCCATGCCCGACGTACTGCACAAGTAGCGCAACACCCTCTTCGCTGCAGCCATGTGCTCTGGTCGGTGTCTCCCAGGAGCAACATAGCGTGCGAGAATGCTAAGAGGGTATGCAAGGTCAGGTCGTGTGCAGGTCATCAGGTACATGAGGCAGCCAACAAGCTCTGCATACGGGCCACTCGACTCTACGGACTCATCCGAAGGCAGAGCTGAGAGCGAGTGGCGAGTAGGCAGAGGAGTGGCCTGAGGCGAGGAGTACGTGAAGCCGAAGCGCCGAAGGACCTGCTGCACCATGTGTGACTGAGTCAGGGTAATGGTGCGGCGTGCTCTGTCCCGGGTGATCTGCAAGCCAAGGTAGCTACGCAGTTCACCCAGGTCAGTGCACGTGTGTCTCTTCTGCAGCTCGGACTTCACGTAGGCGAGTCCAGCAGTGTCAGCTGTGGCAAAAACCAAGTCGTCGACGTACACGAGGATGTAGAACGGCGGCAGAGAGGTGTCGGTGCGCAGAAACAGCGACGGGTCGGCAGTAGAAGGAGCAAACCCAAGTGCCGCCAGCGTAGTCCTCAGTGTGTCGTGCCACTCACGTGGCGCCTGGCGGAGACCGTAGACTGGACGCCGGAGACTCCACTGGGTACCAGGAGGGAAAGACCCAGTGAAGCCAGGTGGGCGACGCAGCCAGATCTCCTCGTGCATGCTGCCCTGCAAGAAGGCGGTGCTGAAGTCGAGAGAGTGCAGCTCGTAGTCACGGTGAGCAGCGACGTGCAGCAGAACCCGAAGAGTGGTCATCTTCGGGGTGGGGGAGAAGGTCTGAAAGTAGTCAACCCCCTGCCGCTGACTGAAGCCACGAGCCACGTAGCGCGCCTTGAAGACAGGCGGAGAACCCGGCGGCCGCTTCACCCTGAAAATCCACATGCCACTGACGATGTTCGCCCCAGGAGGGGGAACAGCGTCGACGTAGGTGCCTGTGGACTTCCAGGAAGCCATCTCTGCATCCATAGCTGCCTGCCACTGAGAGGAGTAGGGACCCTCTATCGCCTCCGCGTAAGAGCGCGGAGTCGGGATGTCTGGTGCATCCGGGTCTCCCTCAGGGGCTAGCAGTACAGACGCGAGATGAGGTGAAGCGGCGGCCAGACACTGGAACTCCTCCTGCCTGTCCTCAAGGACGTCCGTGCCAAGGGCACACTCACCCCCGACGGATGGAGGACAGGCAGAATCAGACTCAGCGACAAGACTGGCAGTGTAGTCTAGACGATAGCGCGCAGCAAAGTCGACAAGCTCAGTGACAAGGGCAGACGCAGCAGAAGACTCGAAGGAAGGGTCAGTGACAGCAGTAGCAAGGAGACGCGTGACAGTGGGACTGGCAGCACGAAGAGAGTCCGACTCCGGGTCGGCAAGAGCAGGAAGAGAGGACTCAGGAGGAGAAGGCAAAGGGGCACGCAGAGGAGCAGTGGACGGACGCAGTGACATCCGGTGCATGCCAGGGACAGGAGGAGGACGCTGACGCGACCCGCGACCACTAGCGCGCGCAGTACGAACAGGCGACGCAGGACGAGACGCAGGCTCACGACGCTCAGTAAGACCTCCAGTCGGACCAGCGTAGGGAGAAGGAGCAGGCAAAGGGGAGGCAGGCTGTAGCTGTGGCTGTGACTGGACAGGCTGTGGACCCTCTAAGGGAGGAGGAGGAGGACCAGGAGAAGGTGTAAGACCAAGAACCTGCTGCAGGAGAGGAACGAAGTACGGTCGGGGCCGCGCGGCGACGCCTGAAACAGCAGGGACAGTACCAGTACCCCCAGCAGGAGTACCCGCTCCAGCAGCACCTCCAGCAGCACCTCCAGTAGCTCCAGAACCTCCAGCAGCACCACCAGGAGCACTGCCAGTCGGACCGCCAGCGGCAGTCTCAGCGCCAACACCCTCAGCAGCAACCGCTCCAGGAGAACCCTCAGACCCAGCAGCTCCAGCACCCACAGTACGAGCACCTCCGGGACGCTCGGCAGCAGTACCCTCTGCAACCGAAGAACCTCCAGCACCAGCAGCACGCCTCCAGCGCCTGGTAAACCACTCACGCAGCTCCTGTGGGGAGAGTGGCTCTCGGCGAGACGAAGCACCTCCAGGTAGAGCACCCCCAGTCTCAGCACCCCCAGGCACAGCACCCCCAGGCACAGCACCCCCAGGCTCAGCACCCCCAGGCTCAGCACCCCCAGGCTCAGCACCCCGAGGCTCAGCACCCCCAGGCTCAGCACCCCCAGACTCCGCACCCCCAGGCTCAGCACCCTCACGCGTAGCACCTCCAGTCTCAGCGACGACAGGCTCAGCTCCCGCAGCAGCACCAGAGTCACCAGTGACCTCGACAGGCTCGACCGCGTCTACCTGGGACACACCTGAAGGGGCAGGACCCTGAGGGGGGAGGGGGTCTACCGGGGGGGGACCTGGTACCAAGAAGAGCGGGGGTGGGGGGAGGGACAGAGTGCGGTAGGGGAAGAGGCGGTAGTAGGGTACCGACTCGTCGAACATGACGTCCTGGGAGGACAGAACACGTCGAGAGGTGGGGTGGTAGAACTGCCACCCAGGGGCGTCGGGGGGGAACCCCAGGAAGACGCAGGGAGCAGCGCGAGGGGACAGCTTGTCCGCAGACAAGTCGCGGACAAACGCCCGAGATCCCCAGACCCGGAACGCTGACGCATCGCCAACCTTCCCCGTCCACAGCAGGGCTGGGGAGGTCTCCGGCCTGGAGACCCTAGGGTGGAGGTTGATCTAATGCGCTGCGTACCTGACCGCAAACGGCCACAGAAAATGGAGGGCAGCCGCATGCATCATGGACGTACGGGCGACATCCATGACCATGCCAATGCGGCGCTCAGCAATCCCATTTTGCTGCGGGGAGTCCGGAAGCGTGAAGGACTGGCGGATGCCTCGCGCACGACAGTAGGCACGCAGAAGGCCAGAGGAGAACTCTCCGCCTCTGTCCGAGTGCAGACGCAACACAGGAAAGTCGGAGCCAAAGCTCTGCCTGAGCTGAAGACGAGCTGCGCGGATCCAGTCGATCAGCACCTCAGTGACCTCACCCTTGCTGCGCAAGGGGAAGACTGTGGTGTAACGCGAGTAGTCGTCAACAACGAGCAGGAAGTAGCGCTCCTGACCCTGTCCACGGACGCGGGCTGGGCCCCACACGTCCATGTGAAGCGTCTGCAACGGGGCCTCTGTCGGAGGAAATTGGGAGGTGTGAGGGGCAGCACGCTGGCGCCCCTCGACACAGGGGACACAGGCAGGGCCAGGGCCCTGAGGAAGGGGAGGGAGGGACCGGGGGAGACCAGACACAAGAAGACGAGTGGCCATGCCTCTGAGCCGAAGCAGAGAGGGGTGGCCAAGGCGGTGGTGCCAGAGGAGGGTCTCGTGAGACAGACGGCGACACGAACAGGGGGCAGACTCAGGACCAGACCTGGACGCTGCAGCAAACACCTGACTAGACGAAGGGACTCGACCAGACTCAAAAGCTGGAGGAGAAGCAGTGGTCAGTGTGTACAGGCTCGACCCTGGCTGACGTGTAAACGTAGCCAGGTGACTACCCGTGCTAGCCTTTGTGCAGTGCATCACTCGCTGACGAGCAGGGGTGAACTGGTGGACTCCCGCATCCTGTAGGTCAGCACCACTCACCAAGTTCGTAGAGAACGAGGGGAGGTAGAGACCAGACAGGGTGCCACAGGGAGCCGCCGGACACGGGAGGACTGTGGAGAAGCGAGACAAGACAAGACCCCCAGAGGGGTCAGCCAGGGAAACCGCAACCGGCCGACTAAGCGGTGTAAGTGTGGTGCGGTCCCGAAAGAAGGAGCGAGACGCTCCAGAGTCAAGAGTGAAGGTGTGGGAGGCCGAAGCCGACGCAGTACCTGAGAGCGCAGACGCACTGGCACCTGAGGGAGCAGTCTCAAC